GGCTTGGATGCCGCAGTGTCGGCAAGTTACGGCTGTCGCATCTGGTCCGGTTGATTCGGCCCAGAATCTGAAAGTGCAGATGGATCCGGGCCGATGGACAAGTCTCTAACAGGTGAAAATTTAACTGAAAATGGCCCGAGTGTACGGAGAGGGATTGTGTATGAGGTAGATGTAAATAGCCAGCAAACGTCAAATTGGTAAGTTTTCACTAGACTTTAGTGGAGTCAGCAGTTCGCTTGACAGTAAATAAGGATCTAATCCTAAAGTGTCTATTTTTTTTTAATACCATTGTTTTCCGTTGTTGTTTAAGTGTTATTTTGGTTTCTGATCACCAAGGAGAGGCTACGCAAGGTCCTAAAGATGATGGCGGCCGCAACAACAAAGTCACGTGACTGAAACCCATGAATAAGAATCTTACGGGTCACTGTACGTCCATGTGTCTTGTCCAATTCAGCAAGTAGATGGCGTCTTCCCATAACACAGCCTCCTGAAGATAGCTGAGTCACATCTCCACACGCGTTCACTGAAGACACTTCCGAGGCTGTATTTCGCGCTCTAACACCATGCTGACGATCACTCTGAAGACCCTCCAGCAGCAGACGTTCAAAGTGCAGATCGACGAGGAGCTGACGGTGAGTGTGCGCGTCTGTGCCCGTGTAAACACGCCAGCGAGCGGGCGTAACGCGCTGGGAAACGCCGCGGCTGCCGCGCGTGGAGCAGTCGCTGTCATTGTACAATATTACATTATAACAGGTGACGTCACAAAGCCGCACATTCTAACGGCTGTTAATTTGAAAATAACGGCCGCGTTGTTCACTTTAACGGTCTGTTTACACTCTCGTCGTGTGGCAAGCCCTTTTAACACCTATTCGATTCAACTAACTAGTCTAGTTAATGTTACTTGTTACTTAACTTAATTGCCAGCAAGTAGTCCAATAGTGATAAGTACATACTGTCTATTTCACTGATTCATTACTTATTCTAGAACGCTAGTTATCCCAATAGTTAGTCACTAATGCTTATTCATTAGACACTAGGACTTGTCACTATTCTACTAATTATTGCGTTGTTACTAGTTAAAAAATGCTAAATTTTGCCACTAAACTCTTTGGGGGTTTGTTAACTATACACTAACAACTTGTTATTGCTTGTACATCTTCTAGTTTTACTATTTATTAGAGCCAAATATGTATGTTACTTTTATTTATACCAGTAGTTACTAGTATGTATTCCAGCTTTACTAATCTGTATTCAATAGATACTAGTATTTATAAATTAAAAATTCGTATGTATGCCAACTGTGACTAGTAGAATTATTTTTTTTTTAATATAAGTAATGAATGGGTACTTTATAGTTCGATAAATCTTACTAGAACGATTAAAAATGCTACTAATAACTGGAATACACAGTAGTGTATGCTAGTTTGTTTTTATGAATGAATATTAAAACAGCTTGCCATGCTTCTTGTTTTCCTAGAATGACAATGCATTACTGATATTGATTGTATTTATGTTATGATCTGTTATTGTTTAAAACTTATTTGTATGCAGTCAGATGAATGTATCTTGTTCATTTAAATGGCTAGTTTTTCTAAATGTGTTCTTTTGTAAGTATTTGAAATCATTCAGAGTGAAATTATTTTATTTTTTTTATGTATCCAGATAATGCAGTATCATTCTGATGTCATAATTAAGTATATGCCCATATGAATCCATTTCTTTGGTTCTTGAAGATAGTTTGGGAAGCACATGACCATTAGTTGCCTGCTTTCGTAATCTTATAGTTCTTGAATCTTATTTTGTCCTTGAAAGCACAATCTTGAATTGTGAAGATGTTTCTGATAAAATTCTGTCCTTGTATATTGTAAATACAGGTAAAGGCTCTTAAAGAGAAGATAGAGGAAGAAAAGGGGCAAGATGCTTTTCCAGCTGTCGGTCAAAAACTAATCTATGCAGGTCTGTTTCTTTGTACATTTGTTATTTCTGCCATCGCAACACTTATATACTATAATTACTGCCACATTTTACTTTTTGCTATATCCTTCCTCAGTTTTAGTAAGACGCTCTTAGATTTTTTAAATTGCATTTGTGTTTTTCTCCATAAAATGCAGGCAAAATTTTGAATGACGATATACCTCTAAAAGAATACAAGATAGATGAGAAGAACTTTGTCGTGGTGATGGTTACAAAGGTAAAGCTGTTTTATCTCTCACAATTCTTTCATTGCCTTCTTCATAAGCTCATTGCATTTTTTACATGTATATATGCAAGTTTCAGTCTCATTATAGCCTTTAAAAATAATTTTCCTTCCATACGTTCTTTCAAATTTTGGGATGTTGCATAAAAAAGCGCTGGATGGAAATGCCAGGATGTGCATAAAATCTTAAAATGCACATAAATTAACCGATGTACATAAAATAATTCAAAACACTTTTGAGGCAAGTTTTTTTTTTTTATCTGATAAGAAAATATTTCCATAAACTATGTTGGAATCACATTTAGGGGGTGTATTCAAGACACAGTTTTCAACTAAAAACAACTTTCAACTTTTTATGCCTTTCGGCCGTTCATTCGTACCATTATCATCTCTGTGTAAAGTCAGCGCTATCTCACGGGCAATGCGTATGTATTTAATGAGGTGGCTAATTCGTACGATTTCTGTGACAGGTAGGGGTGCTCCTTTCGTACGCATTTGCCACCTCATAAAATACGTAGGAATTGCCATGAGATTGGGTTGGTAAACTACGAAAATGCAAATTTGTGAAAAGGTGCGATTTCTGTGACTGGTAGGTTTAGGGGCAGGGTTAGGGGTGGTCCTTTGTACGAATTACTACGAATTTATGGCCTGGTATGCATAATACTATTAAGTCATTGTTGTGGATCCGTGTCAACAAGGATCATTTTAACGTCGTCTATACGTGAAACTTGTCAAAAACGCAAAGAAAAACCGTTTCCGTTTTTAGTACAAACGTTTTTGTGTAAACGTACCCTTACTGAATAAATTCCCAAAACGTTGTCACAAGATTGCATTCACAAATATCCGACATACAAACGCAAGATAACATGACTGCGAATGTTATTGCATTTCATCTGCGCACAAGTTTATTTTGTAGGAAAAAGCGCCAAAGTGCTTTCACCGTTTGCTGCAACTGGCCAGTTTCCCAGGAAGTGACGTTTTTGTTCTCTTGAACACGTTTCTTTATTCGCATATGTTTTATGTGAAATTTCATTTCAAGTTATTCGCAACTTTGGATAGAAACAGTGTTAAAGTTCATTAGCAGGTTTCTATAGTTCTCTGTGCAGTTGTGTTTCTTTTTCTACAGCCCAAATCTGCAGCACCGCCACAAGCTCCTGCTCCCGCGCCGGCAGCTGCCGCTACCGTTACCGCAACTGTCGACAAAACCCCTGCACATCCGCCCTCAACTCCTGCTGCACCTCCTGCTGTCTCCACAGTGCCTGTATCGACCCCCACTCCCGCTCCCATAGAACCAGCGGCATCAGCGGAGCCGCCCGCGCCGCCCATCACAGCGCCCCCTGCTGCCTCGGAGACTGCTGCGGAAAAGCCTGAGCCTGTTAGCGCGACTCCCGCTCCGATCTCAGAAGAGGAGAACCAGGAAGCCCAAGAGGAGCAGGCCATTGCCCAATCAGAAGCCAGGTACGGCCACACCCAAAAAAAATATTTTTAGAATATAGAAAAATATATTTTTATCGCTCAAAGAATGAAAATTCCTCAATTTGTCATCTGTTTTGTTCAGCATTACAGATGAATTTGGTCTTTTAGAAGCAGCTGCGTCCATACTAGGTATGTTTGGGTTTTCGGTTTTGTTATAAACTGACTTTAATGACTTTAACATCTGTTGCCTTTCGTTTCTTTAGTTACAGGTCAAGCGTATGAGAATTTGGTGACAGAAATCATGTCAATGGGTTATGAGAGAGAACAGGTGATTTCCGCCTTACGAGCAAGTTATAACAATCCGGACAGAGCCGTGGAGTATCTGCTTATGGTGAGAGTTACTAATGTTACTAATTTAACGGGATTAAAATGCTAATAAAACTAGTTTTGTTCAAAGTCGACATGAAATGACATTTGCAACCTATTTTACTTTGTAATGTGACAAATTTCTGAGTGAAACCAGAAACAGGGACTTTTATTGATATTTGCACTCTGCAACTCTTTAATATTGTCCATTTGCTTGGTAAAGTAATCTTACTTAATATATTGTTTGGATAATTGCTCAACTTTTAAAATAGCTTTTTAAAGGGGCCATATGGTGTTGCTAAAAAGAACATTATTTTGTGTACGTCACACACGGCGGCCTTGAGTGAGCGGAGGCGCGAAGTTGATGTATTTCCTCAGCGACCAGCACGGATCAGCTCTAGGCATGACGAAGCGGATATCGTCCTCTTTTGGAAGACCAACCAAAGTAGTTTCGCTTTCACAACGAAGCACACAGCGTCTTTACGACATGGTGGCGGCGGCGGCAACAACAATACTACAGCGAGAATAAAAGTTACGCCTTCTTTCTTTGCGTGAACATTTGGGCGGCGTTATGCAAATCTTCCCACATAGTGACGTAGATATGTGGGGGCGTGTTAGAACGAGCCGTTTTAGGTAGGTGTGGTTAACTCTTAACTTTTATAAAGAATATCTCTTTGGGTTTGAGACTTTAGTCTTTGCAACTTTACAGATCTTCTTTATGCGCCAAGAGCTTGTAACACTTCAAAGAGAAAGGAACAATTGAAATCGCATCATATGACCACCTTAAATCTTAAGACATATCCAAAAAAAAAGGTAAGAAAAAACAAAAACAAAATGACTGCAACCATTAGATCATCAAACCAACTTTGTCCAAACTTTGTATATACATAATGAATACTAATACTAAAATGTATTTTAATATTAAATTAAGTATTTAAATGACGTACAATTATTTAAATACATATTCAATTATTAATATTAATACATATTGCAAAAATTGAATTATTTTACATCAATTATCAGTAATAAATAAACAATTTATATACATTATTTATAATTATTTAAATACATTTTAAATTATTAATATTAACACATGAAAAGATAATAAAATAATGAAATCCATTGTGATCACCAAACAAAGTTGCATAAATATATAAAAAAGTATAAACTAGTATAAATAACAATAGCAATAATTAATAAACATTAATACTAAAATTAATTGTAATCATAAATGATTTAAATACATATTAAGTTAATAATGTTAATGCTGTAATACACTTATTTCATTTTTTATTTTTTATGATTCTAATGATCATGTACAAAATAATACAAAAATGTTTTTAATATTATATATATTTTTTACTGTATTATAATTTATGATAAATTACAAATTTTAATTAATAATGAAAAATAACACTATGTCAAGTTTATTTTAATTCTTTAATTTAATTTTATTTGTCTTTTTATTCAGAATATCACCAATGAATTGTGCACATAATTAATGAATATTAATAAAGACAATTTGGTCAACCTTGCTTTCCTGTTGACTTGGAAAAGTGCCTTGTTTAAACCGCACAAATTCACAAATGAACGAGCTGTTAATGTCCGTTCCTCAGGGTATTCCCACAGAATCCGAGCAGCCACCGCAGGAAGTAGTGCGGCCCACGCCAGTGTCCAACCCCACCCCTCCAGCACCACAGCGACCTCAGCCGCCGCCCGCCGCAGCCGGTGAGTGGCCATTTGTTCACGACGTGTGGAAATAGACGCCCATTTGCCCTGCAGCTGCCGCCTTCTTGCTAATTCGCTGAACCGTTATTTCGGTAGCACAGCTGATGGCGGAGTCTTAATTTACGCTCATGGGCATCGCTGACGTTCTGTTCATTAGGCAAATAAGGAAGCATAAAGGTCAATATCTCAATAAAATCTGCCCCCAAATTAGCATTAATGAGTAAATGTGAACTTTGGACTTAAAGGTGATGTGCATAAATTTTGCAATGTCTTTTTAAACTTAACTTTCTTAATGTGTTGAGAGTAAATTTGATTTCGAAACCGTTTGAAACACTGGTTAAACTATTTTACTTGTTGAAATTTGGTGACTTTTTCTCATTTTGGGTTATGAATGTGTGTGCAAACTTTCGACACATAGATGTGTTTTGGAAAGGCTGTACACATTTTGGTGGTGTTGGGGTCACATTGGCCCTCATTGGTTCCCATGCACTTTGGCAAAAAAAAACAGAAAACCTTTATTGTAGCTTGACAAAAACTAAAATATGATATACGTGAAAAAGTTTACTCAAAATTGAACACTTTCTTAATTATGAGTTTTAAATACAAAAGTTCTGTGAAATTATATTTTTGGGTGATTGTTTTTTGCATCTCAATTATTAGTCGGTTGCTGCACTAAAACAGAAAGGAAGTGTGAGAAACCCATTTTACCCTCACAAAAAATTTGACAAAAATGTGACAAAAAACACAACAAAATTACTAAAACTTTGACTAAAATTCAAATGACAACAAGTCAAGTCAAGTCTGCTTTATTGTCAATTCTTCCACATGTACAGCACATACACACAGAGAATTGAAATTGCGTTACTCTCAGACCCTTGGTGCATACAGTTAACACTAACAGTAGAACATAAACATACAAAACAGATAAAATATAAAATACAACTATACAAATATACAAATAAGGTCATGTAAAAAATGGGGTTCTGGGTTAGAGTCAACAAAAATATATATAAAAATAAAAACTAATTCAAAATATTAGTAAAAACTTTAGTAGTATTTCACTAATTTACACTACAGTACAAACAATTTAGGTAATAATTATGCTTAGTGTATAGTCACTTGCACCATTACAGAACTAGCTAAAAGATTAACAAATTAATTCACAGAAATTTTTTGTGTCTATGCTGCACATTTTGCTAATATTTTTGGTCCCTGACAAGCTTCAATCAGTGTTTTTTTGTATCATTAATATATTATTATAGTTTTTGTTAATATTTTGAATAAATTTTTCTTTATATTTTAAAGTTCTTCTTTTAAAATTAAAAAAGACAGCAAAATTACTTATTCTATTAAGTTTAAGTTTATTTAGTTTGAGTTCAGCTTAACTTCAGTACTTCAGCTTAAACTAAACGAAAATTAGAAATAAAACGGTTCTAGTTAATGCGACTTTTATGTTTTTATGGGGTTTTTTTTGTATGTTGTGTCGAGTTTTGGCGAATTTCATGGAAACCATAGACAGCATAAAGTGTAAATGTAAATACTTAAAAAAACATTGGTGTTATTTGTGTTGTATTTTTACTTTCATAAAAATATATATATATTTTACATTTTAAAAAACAAACAAACACTAAATTACTGAAAATAGTACTACTAAAATAGACAATATAAAAATACAATCTAATTCAAATATGAAAAAAAAATACATAATAGTATATCAATGATGCTAATATAACCACCAAAATTATAATATAGAAATTTTAATTATATTTTATAAATATATATGTAGTATTTTATTCATATTGTTTAAATTGTTTAATTACAATTATTTAAATAAATATTAATTATTATTATTATTTGCATAATATATTTATAATGTTGATTTTTGGCTAATTTTGTGAGGGTCAACAGATAAAAAGTAGACACTTCAAAAATATTGACTTTATGTTTACTTTCTTATTTGGAGGCACAGAAAAGACAGTGTTGCATAATACAGTGCAGTAGGAAACAAAGAAAATGGTTTTCTTTGAGCTTTTCCTCGATGGCGGTCCACCAGCGTCCCGGGCCAGACTCCTCTACAGCCCTTTCTGTCCTGTGAACAGGTGTGGAGTCGGGAGCGGCGCAGGCCTTGGCGAACCCGTTGGAGTTCCTGAGGAACCAGCCGCAGTTCCAGCAGATGCGTCAGATCATCCAGCAGAACACGGCGCTGCTGCCAGCGCTCCTGCAGCAGCTTGGCCGAGATAACCCGCAGCTCTTCAGTACTTCAGCTTAAACTAAACGAAAATTAGAAATAAAACGGTTCTAGTTAATGCGACTTTTATGTTTTTATGGGGTTTTTTTTGTATGTTGTGTCGAGTTTTGGCGAATTTCATGGAAACCATAGACAGCATAAAGTGTAAATGTAAATACTTAAAAAAACATTGGTGTTATTTGTGTTGTATTTTTACTTTCATAAAAATATATATATATTTTACATTTTAAAAAACAAACAAACACTAAATTACTGAAAATAGTACTACTAAAATAGACAATATAAAAATACAATCTAATTCAAATATGAAAAAAAAATACATAATAGTATATCAATGATGCTAATATAACCACCAAAATTATAATATAGAAATTTTAATTATATTTTATAAATATATATGTAGTATTTTATTCATATTGTTTAAATTGTTTAATTACAATTATTTAAATAAATATTAATTATTATTATTATTTGCATAATATATTTATAATGTTGATTTTTGGCTAATTTTGTGAGGGTCAACAGATAAAAAGTAGACACTTCAAAAATATTGACTTTATGTTTACTTTCTTATTTGGAGGCACAGAAAAGACAGTGTTGCATATTACAGTGCAGTAGGAAACAAAGAAAATGGTTTTCTTTGAGCTTTTCCTCGATGGCGGTCCACCAGCGTCCCGGGCCAGACTCCTCTACAGCCCTTTCTGTCCTGTGAACAGGTGTGGAGTCGGGAGCGGCGCAGGCCTTGGCGAACCCGTTGGAGTTCCTGAGGAACCAGCCGCAGTTCCAGCAGATGCGTCAGATCATCCAGCAGAACCCGGCGCTGCTGCCAGCGCTCCTGCAGCAGCTTGGCCGAGATAACCCGCAGCTCCTGCAGGTGGGTGGAGCTTAGCGCAGAGCCGCTGCGATTGGACGCACGATGCTGAATCTGCGCTTATTTTTCTGGGCAGCAAATCACGCAGCATCAGGAGCGATTCGTGCAGATGTTGAACGAGCCACACGTAGGCGAAGCCGGAGCCGCTGAAGCTCCCAGCGCACCACAGACCAACTACATCCAGGTCACGCCGCAGGAGAAGGAGGCCATCGAGAGGGTACGCTAACAATGCTACGAACGTTTGGCTTGAAGACGGAAGTATAATTTCTGTGATACTAGGGACAACGCACAGACCAATGAGAAATGTCGTTTTACTAGATACCATTTGGTCACGTTAGTGTCACGGAAATTACACAAATAAGAAAAAATTAGAATTTTTTAATTCAGTTTTTAAAGCTGCAACCGTGTTTTAAATTAAAATAAAATACCTAATAAACCTATCCACTTTTAATTAAAGTCAGCATGGAATGACATTTGCTATCCATTTTATTTGACATAATTCAAAGTAAAACAGAATATATATATATATATGTGTGTGTGTGTGTGTGTGTATAAAATAATTAAATTTTTAATATCATTAAAAACATTACAATTATTTAAACATATTTAAATAAACATTAAATGATTTGATTTAAATTTTTCTTTTAATTTTTTAATAAAATTTGCATAATTCATGTTTTTTTATTGTTGCATTCTAATGGTTATGTAGTCATTTGTGAATTGAAAATAATTTATTATTAAAATTTTGTTTATTAATTATTTTGTATTTTAATTTATTATAATTCAAATAACTATATGTTATCTTAATTTAATGTTTATATCGATAATTGCTATATTGATTAATTTATAATGTGCATCTTAACATTTCCACAAAATAAACTTTATATACATACATATACACATACACAATGTAATTGTATCTAATACAAAATGTCAGGGTTAACAAAAATTCGTACTTGAAATAAAATAAATTTGAACTAAAATAGAATGCAATACAAACAAATAAAAATTTTTATATTTTAATTTTAATAATTAATTAAAAATGATTGAACGAACAGTCATTTCACATAACATGTTTTAACATTTTATAAAATTGCGTTATGTTTTCTAGTTAAAAGCTCTGGGGTTTCCAGAGGGACTCGTCATCCAAGCCTACTTCGCCTGCGAGAAGAACGAAAACCTCGCCGCGAACTTCCTGCTCCAGCAGAACTTTGACGATGAGTGAACGTTAACCGTTTAGACGTGACGACACTCGGAGGATGGCAACGGAGAGAATGCAAGCGCTAGGCCGCATGTTGCGTGCGCGTGTGTATGTGTGCGTTAAAGCGAATTGGACGTCGACTGGCCTTCCATGATGATTTTCATGGAGTTTAAACTGAAGCCATGATGTGACGTTATAATCAGCACAGCTAAAAAATTTTTTCGATAGATATAGCCGATCCTTTACGACGAGGTGTCCGTTGTATGTCTGGTTTCTGCTGCTATCTCTGCTGTGTGCGTCGAGTGAGGTTTTATTTATCACAGTTAAACCCTGCCAAAAAAACTCTCAAGGTCATCGCTCATTTCTCACAATTGTTTTTCAGTATTATTAATAATGAGACGTTTCAGTCGAAGTAGATGCCAAATTGAATTAGCCACCAATGAAAACAAGCCTTTGATGGATAGACGTACATCTTTTCAACACGTCGTACCATTTTTGTTGCGTTTTCTCCACTGGAACAATTTTGGAAATATCAAAATTAAATATGGTGTCTACTTTATGCCATGTTATGTCATATTTAGTGTTTACTTTTCTTTCATTATTAGCCTCTACTGTGTGAAATACAACGTTTATGCGGTGGACGTCACCAAACTACTTTTCAACTCATCTGTTCCCCTACATCAAACAATTAATATTAAAAATAAACCAAATTTTCTGCGCTGCATGGGTATGTTAGTATCTTTAAACCCATGTTTAAAATAAGTCGATAACGTCTACAATCATGAGTTTTTGGTAAAAAAAAAAACAGCATTGATAGTTGATATGTGACAATCTAGTTGGCTAATTAACTAGATTTTATTTTCAAGTTTATTTCTGTTATTTGATAGGGCATGTTTAACAAAAATCAAAAATTCTGTCACCATTTACTCACCCTCAATTTCTTTTGAACACAAAATAAGACATTTGAAGAATGTTGGTAACCAAAAAGGTAACGTAGCCATTGCTTTCCATAGTATAGAAAAAAAAATACTATGAAAGTCAATGGCTACCGTCAACTGTAACCAAACAGGTATGGAGGGCAATGCCTATACCATCAACTGTAACCAAAAGGGTGATGGTAGCCATTGGCTTCCATAGTGTTTTTTCCCATACTATGCAGGGTAATGGCAGGGTAAGGGTGATGGTAGCCATTGGCTTCCATAGTAAGGAAAAAAAAAAACACTATGGAAGTCAATGGCTACCGTCAACTATTTGGTTCCAGTTGACAGTAGTATATTATAGTTTCCATAGGATAGTATGGAAAAAAATACTATGGAAGCCAATGGCTACCATCATCTGTCAACTGTAACCAAACAGCTGACGGTAGCCATTGACATCCATAGTATGGAAAAAATACTATGGAAGTCAATGGCTACCGACAACTGTTTGGTTACCAACATTCTTTTTTATTTCATTCTTAATTTTCATTTTTTGGTGAACTATCCCTTTATTAACACTAAAGTTCCCACTAGAACCAGTTCAGTATGCAGTAGAAACTGAATGAACAGTGGTTTTGAATGGAACCCGAAATCGTAGGCATTTTATGTGGTGAAGCAACTGAATGTGGTCGAGTGTCTCAGCAGGTTTCGAAAACCGCATAAAAATATGCATTGTAATTTGAATATTTGTACATATTCGAGTGGAAGAAAAAACAGTGTTGTCTTGGTCTCTGTTGCACACTTAAGACAGTGCCAAACATAATTAGAAACTGGAAATGGATGAAATTACAGATCTAGCTGCAATGCTTGAAGTGGATGCAGAATGCATATATTTTTATATAAATGATGTGTCCTGCTCCTATAGCCTAGTTTTGAGTTAAAATGCTGGAAGGGTATTTTTATCAATACGTTCAAAAATCTGTAGGTGTTCTGACAGGTACAGGCAAGACTAAGCATCCTGTTAGCATTTTATATTATTTTTTCTTCTTGGGGGATCTGATGTGTGGAGAAAGTGAACATGGAGGAGTTTGGTCTTAAATGCAACAGCACACAAGAGTTTGCGGAGTGATTTATGAATGTATTGTTTCAGTGGTGTGTGAAATAAATTGCTTTTAAAAAGCTTCAATGAAGTCTCCAAATAGATATAGTTTCATTCATTAGTAATGGATCCATAATCAGACTGCATATATGCTTCTAAATCCCCAAGAAGTATACTTGAAAAAAATACTATGGTATTAAGAGATTCCCATACACATACTGTAGTTTTTACATTGTACTTCAATGACTTCTATATTACTATAAAATTCATGTTAACCAGATTTTAAAAATTGTCAAGTCATTCCAGTCACTGTTGTGAGAACTCGAGTGTAAGTTTATTATGCGTCTACTGGGTGCAAGTTCAGCTTACTCCTCGTTAGTATAGTGGTAAGTATCCCCGCCTGTCAGACCGGGGTTCGATTCCCCGACGGGGAGAATAGCAATCTTTTGAAAACCCATTTCATTTTCAATGGGTTTGAGACATTTTTTTTTATCAAGCAAGAAGTAGATACTTCTGTCAGGACCACTAAAGTCAAAGATGACTGACAATTAGCATCGAGTTTTGGATTGGCGGTTCTGTTCTGGGCAAGAACTCCCTGCACATCCATGCAGCCCAGCATGGATACGAGCAGGGAGAGCAGCAATAACCCCCCCAGGGTAAACAGAACAGAACCAACATAAATGTATTGCAGATATCATAAAAGTTCAATAATTTAATGCAACATTTTAGAAATTAGCCTTGTGATTCAAAGGAGAACCAGAAGGCCGAATCCTGACTGACGAGAGGAGGAGTTGGGGATGGAGGAGGGTAATTAGCTATTGAGCAACGCGAAAACTGCTGATAATACTGAGGGACCTTATATATGAATGCTTAGATAGGTGTCGTATTCCTATAGATAGATGGGGATCAGCTGAGAGTCAGCTGATGCGAGCTTGACTAATGTGACCTGCCAGAACTAACACAAAGCTTGAAAGTAGGTGATAATACTGAACCTTATATATGAATCTTATATACTGATCTTATATATGGGTGCTGTGATAGGTGTCGCATCCCAATAGGTAGATGTGGATCAGCTGAGAGTCAGCTGATGCGAGCTTGACTAACGTGACCTGCCAGAACTAACACAAAGCTTGATTTATGGCCCGAGCTTAGGAACAGAGAAAGATTAAGTTAGGGTTAGGTGAAGAATCAGGATTTTCCTCCACCTGACATTGATGTACTCCTGACATAGCGCTCCAGATTAAAATAGGTGGGCCACAGGCACAAAATCATGCTTGTTGTTTGTTAGTTGCAACGCTCAAGCTATAGAACAATATTTCAAGATAAATTAACTTTTTGTTCTGAGATATACTCAAAACTTAAACTTTAAATGCTTCAAAAAAGACCCTTATTAAAACTACAACACTTCTGCAAGAGGGTGGGAACGCAACGGCATTTAACCATAATCCTTTGCAATATGAACAGCCAACTAGAACCGTTTACACAATTGTCGTGTAGTTATACTGAAAGTCAAACATTCCAACTTCAAATTTCATTATATGACAAGATCATACCACACAATTCTCAAAAGCAGTAAAACTCCCAAAGTAATATACCCTACATATAGGTTAGACATGTTCAGTTGTCCAACATCTACCCCTTGTGGTTTGTTGTGGTATTGACTTGGACAAAACAAGAATTTGGACCAGAGTTTAGAAACTGAGAAAGATTTAGTTATTGCTTTAGTTATAGTCGTTATTGCTCCTGACATAGTGCTCCAGATGGAGGGATAGTTGTTTTTTGTGAACCGTGAGCGTTTGGCCCAGCTGAGTCCCTACTTCCAAGCCTTTTTTTTTTTGGCGGGGGTCAGCAGAACACCAGGAAGCATGCTGAGATTAAGGACCTTGGACCACAGTTAGTATAGTAGTAAGTATCCCCACCTGTCACACGGGAGACTGGGGTTCGATTCCCCGACGGGGAGAAATGTAATATTTTGAAAACCCATTTCATTTTAAATGGGTTGGAGACAACAAAGAATTTTTATTCGGCAAAAAGTAGGTACTTATGAGCTCAGCTTAGACACAGAGAAAGATTTTTTTGAGAACGATCAGGATGGTGTCTACGACACACTTGACGTAGTGCTCCAGGTGGAGAGAGAGTTGTTTGTGAACCATGGTCATTTGGCCCAGCTGAGTCCCTACTTCCAAGCCTTGGTTTTAGGCAGTGGTCAGGAGAGCACCAAGACACATATCAGGATTAAGGAAGTTGGACCACAAACACAAAACCACAGCCAAGATTTTTTTGGTTGCAATGCTCTGGATGTATAGGAGTGACAAGTTAAAGTTCTGAGACGTACACAGAACTTAAACTTAGATGCTTAGATGCTGTTTGTGTTTGGTGGTAGCATGGATGAGGGGCCTGTGGCTGACGTCGAGAAGCTGGTTTTGGGAGCCGAGGAATGGGACACCGTCAGCCCCATGGTGCGGGCTGTGGAAAGGGCAGCCATTGTCACTATGGGGACTAGTATTTACGTGGCCTGTGGTCTAGATGAGAATGGGGATGTTTACAGTGGGATTCAGAGGTACAGGCCAGAGGTTGATCAATGGGAGGTGGTGTCCTATTCTCCATTCCCACGGTGAGTAGACACAGTTGTGTCTAACTTGTTCTGAGCAAGGCTTGGGCAAGTCTTGCCCTGAATAGGGTTGGAGCTAAACTCATGAGCCAATGTTGTCCACTCTTTTTAAGGCAATACTTTTCAAAGATGCCACCACAAATAGTTCTGTATCAGTTCTATACACTTTGGTAAACCAAAGTGAATTCTTATTGGATACATGTGTACTTCTTTTCCAGTTACGACCTTCTTGCAACAGAGCTCAATGGTGCTCTCTATCTACTGGGAGGACAGGCTCTGCGCTTAAGACATTGACACAGACGAGTGGACCGTTCTTCAAGAGGACTGTCTGGACAATACATTTTTCACAGGCTGTGCCACAGTTAAGGGGCAGATTTACATACTAAGCGAGAGGAAGATAAACAAAACGTACCCAAACATGATTCTACTGGACCCTTACATTGACACTTGCTTGGAAGTTGATGATAAAATACCCTGTCCTGCCCCCATAAGAGGCTGTATCACAATGCATGTCAATCCTTTCTAAAGCCATAATGTCAACACTATTCCTTCTTTAAGTCAGAGGACAAGTATTAAACCAATGCAGGAACATTCTGTTCAGCAACGTTGAGGATAATCATATTCTAAAACTTTTTTATTGTTATTCAAAAGGTCACAGAGAAAAATGTCGAATGAGAAGCAAGTATGCAACATTAATAGTATTTAAGATTCTAAGAATATATCCCTCTTCTGTCATTGTTACAAGTATTATAACAGCTACAAAATGTTGCATTAACAAACTCAGAACACGGTAAATCCCAATAAAAAAAAGGAAAGTTAATACAAAAACAATCACAGGTTTTTTTTAAAAACATAATTTAAACAGTGAAAGACAGATGCACAGCTTTAGAACTAAAGGTCTGTTATGGCTACTGTGCCAATAAACTTTCTAGAACCATCTAGAACAACAAAAACACTTTGCCTTTAGCCCTTGGAGCAGATTATATAAATCAAGGGGCCTACAGAGGCTTCCTCAAATTCAACTATCCCCTTTGACTTTTAAGATTTCGAGGCACATGCTCCAGTGAGATATCATCTGATTCCTCATTTGGTAAGGCAATGCACAACCAAAGTGCCATCTAACAAACTCCAGTAGTTTCTTGCAACAAAATCTTTCAGTAGCAGAATCACTAAGACAAGCGGACACTTCACACAAGATGGCGCCGCAAGTCTTTCCCAGTTGTCCACCAATGCCAATTTTGAAAACAACAGCCACTGCAGAAAACTCACACATTTCCACACAACTTAGAAGAATACCTATACAAATACAAAAGTATTTAAAAAGAATGCATCTAAATGTTGTGGGTCTCTCTAGTCAGGAGAGCCGACTCATTTTTTTTATTTAAATATCACTGTTCCATAATGAACAGTTGCAGAATTAGTAAACTATTCAACAATTAAATACTCAAGATGTCTGTTTATGATCCATTTTTATCTATGCAAACTTTTTAATGAGTTTAAGTGCTACTCAGCCAATGCACTATAATTAATTATACTAATTTTAAACAAATTAATTCAAGTTGAACCTATTTCCAATACACTCCCCAATGGTAATATAATAATACAAACTAGTAGTATTTTTAGTTTTTTTATGCAATCTTCTGACTATGCATTATGTTTTCAGGAAAACAAAACATCAGCGGTCTGAAATTACTGTAGGACCATGATAAACAAGATAAGCCAAGAAAGTTGGAGATGATTTAACAAGTTTAAATACATTAAGTAGCATTACTATCTGGCTTTCGGCATTCTGCTATTAATTTTTCGCCTCTGATTCGTTAAATTGTTCAGAACACAGTTACTGGCCAACGACGCCAATTTAGAGTTAAGGGCACCCTTTTTCTGCTCCCAGCTGTGTTCTTCTTCTCCATCTTCTTCTTCCTCTTCATCAGCCTCACTCTCTTCATCACTCCGTTCATCGCGTTCCACCTTAAAAACATGTTTGTTCGAAAATTGAGGGATAACATCATTTATAAACTTACAACTTAAGATACTCACTTTGCCTAAAAAGACAAATTTGTGAACCATTCGAAGAATCAGCCAAGCCCAGAAGATGTGCAGGGCTTGAAGAACCAGCAACAGGCCATTCAAGAAATAATAACCAGAGTACGGAGGAAAGACGTCCAACGAATCCACCACAGCTGTGTAGACGATTCTGGAAATAAACCAAAATACAGTTTATAAATCGTAAGAAGATTTTAGCCATGTCAACGTCTTAGATTTGAGAAGACCCATTCAAAATGATTTGAAATCAGCATTAAATGAAATTAAGTTCTTACCTGCATGGGAAAACCACAAGGCGAGTTACCAGGAATACGGCGGCGAAAAAGACAAACAAGGCATCACAAGTCTTTCTCCATCCAGCATAATTGAACATCTTAGCAGACTGCAAATCAAGCAAAAACAAAACATTAGTTATTTCTTTTTATACAACAGTTCGTTCTGGTTCTCAAATCTGATTGGTTGAGAACCGTGAGATATTGTACTGGTATCTCTACAGGAACGCCCTTTCACAATTTTGTATCACTCCGCTTGTTCTAGCCGGGTCTATGTTTTTTTTTTTTGAGTTTTTCTTTTTTAATAAATCTGCAAAAATGTCAACAATTCTGTGTTTTTCTGTCAATATGGGGTGCTGTGTGTACATTAATGAGGAAAAAAAATTAACTTAAATGATTTTAGCAAATGGCTGCAATATAACAAAGAGTGAAAAATTTAAGGGGGTCTGAATACTTTCCGTACCCACTGTATATATATATATACTTGTATAAGTCAAAGTCATTTATGTACTTTATTCTGTTTCAGTAAGATGAGCTTTCTGTGTGTGTGTGTGTATACATCCATAATGTATTTTCTGGTATTTATTAACCCCTTAAGCAAAAAGAACATGAAACATCTTCTAAAATAAATACTCTCCGAATCCTGATTTTCAGTATTGATGTGTTAAAAACTAATGCAATGAAATCCAATTACCTTAGGTGGACTTTGCGAATTAACAAAGATAGCAAACATGACCATATAATTGTTGTTATTCAAACTTTTTTATTAAAGGAATAATCAAAATTTTTCGTCCAGGTTTTCATTTTAACAATAATCCTCAGTTGTGGAGCACTTTGTTTGCCAAAAAAAAAAAGAAAAGGTTTGTTTTAAATTTCATTTGATTAAAGTATAAATGAAATGAATGTTTGATGCCTTCATTTATTTACCAGAAATTAATTTATTAAAATAATTCATTTTTTCATTTATTAAAGCACTAATTTTTTTTATAATAATGATCATCATTTCTGAAAAACAAACAAACAAAAGATTTCATAGTGCCCTATTAAAAATAGTTTTTATCTAAAAAATGTATTAAATAGTTTTATTGAATTTACTTAATTTGACATGCTTTTTGAATAATAATCTTTAATTAAACCATTAAAAGCTAATCCAAAAAATTATAAAACAGAATTAGTTGGGGGAAATTAAATGTATTTCATAGGACCCTAAAAATGTAATGCTTGTAAAACTTTTAATACATCGTTCTTAAATTGTATAGGTTTCATGATTCAAATTATCAAACAGAATTTGTTAAAAATAAACAGAATTAGTGGGGGGAAATTAAATGTATTTCATAGGACCCTAACAATGTAATGCTTGTAAAACTTTTAATACATCGTTCTTAAATTGTATAGGTTTCATGATTTCAATTGATTAGACATGCGCTTTCACGACTAAAATTTAATTTAATTTAACCATTTAAAGGGAGCCCAGAAAGATTAAAACAAGGAAAAACAAAATGGACTCCAGAAAAATGAACACAGAAAAACATGGAATTTGTGAAAAAAGAAAACATTTCATTGAGCTCTACATCCATGATGTCATAATGGAAGCTGACAGATCGGCCAATCAGATTTACCTCCAACAGGAAGTCAGAAGAGTCGTGGACGAGCATCACCAGGGTTCCCACGCGCGCGTAGTTCGCGCAGTATGAGAACGCGATGAGGAAAATGGTGGCGATGTGGTGAATGATCTGCTCTTGGAAGTCCTGCACAACCGAAACAAACATATACGCACAATTCATCTTTCGAAGGAAATTTCACTCAAAATTTCAGGAAACTTACTTTGCGCTTTACGTCCACCGATACGCAGAGCAGAAGCGAGAGGTAGAAGGACAACTCCACGATGTAATACCAGTACTGAGCTTCTGCTACGGCCTGCAGACCAAATCACAAATAATAGCATCTGGAAAACGCACCAATAATCAAGTGAAAAGTAACAAGGTACAAATATCTAGTTAACAACAGAAACATTTCATCCCTAAAATTCACTTGTTTCTGAGAACAAATGAAACATGAACAGTTTTTATTGTAATATTTCGCAGATGATTCTGGCTCTCGTGAGATAAGTCTCGACTGTTTTGATCGGATCGTGGGGTGCGGCGCTCACTAGTTCCTCCGATTTCTGCCTAATCTCAAGTTCCTGGGATTGTTCAGCAGGAAGTGAATGTGTGTGGAGAGCCGTTTGTTACGGACCTGTCTCGGGTATCCGCGCCAGCATTCCCGGTGATCCCAAAACCACGGAGTCTGAAAAACACCATTTGACAAAAATGATTACATGTGAATGTATATGTTTGAATGCGCAAGTTTTGATGAAGAAAATACTTTTTTCTTTTTTGTTTTTTACTTTGGAGTAACATGCACCCATTTTTCATTCATTATATGACTACTAATTTTTGTGTATGAAGTGTATTAGATATTAAGAAATAAAAATTATCAAAAAATCTAAAATATTATCAAATACTTTATTTTTATTTTAGTGTAACATGCACCAAATGTTTTGTTTTATATAGGACTGCTCATTTTAGTGTATTACTGAAAAGTGTATTAGATATTAAGAATTAATAAAAATAAATTTTATTTGTTTTATTATATCATTATAAATATTTTATTTTAAATTATATATATATACACACACCAAAATTATATATATATTTTTTTTTACTGGAGAGTAATTTTGTGTTAAATATAGGACTGCAAATCTTTGTGTATGAAGTGTATTAGATATTAAGAATGAATGTAAATCTACTTTTATTAAATTAATTTATTATATATCTCTAAATATTTTATTAAAAACATTTAAGCAAAAAATTACACAAAACAAATAATAATAATAATAATTATTATCTTTTTTACTTTGGAGTAAAATGCGCTATTTTCTAATTATTATTATAGGACCGCTCATTTTTGTGTATTAGGTATATTAGACATTATTAAGAAATAATACAAATCTATTATTATTATATTATTATTTTATTTTACAAGTACCAATTTTTCATTCATAATAGAACTAAGTTGTGGTGTATTAAATATATTAGATAATATTAAGAAATCATAAAAGTCTGTGTTTATTACATTTTTATTTACTTTTATGGTATTTCTGTAAATGTTTTATTTTATTTAAAATAAAATACATATTTAAGCCAAATATTATAATCACACAAATATATTATTATTATTAAAATAATATTAAATGAAACGGTAAAAATAAAATCATTTTCTGAAATTGTCAGGCACGAATGGCAACTTTTTTCCCCGAGAACGTCTCAGTATTTGATTACATGTATTTCCAAACGTGAGCATGATGCTGAGGAGAGAACTGAGAAACCCCAGCATTATGGAGATACTCACATTAATGAGCGAGACGAGACCAGCTGAGAACGCCATGAGATAAAACACAAACCTCCACCTGAGGAAGCACACAGGAAAGCTCATGTTAATCAAATGCAAACACAATCAATCACAGACGTCTGCTGTGGGTTAGGCTTCAGAGGCTTACGAGGCTTCACAGAACTTCCTGGTGTTTCCGGGCCGGTCCTGGTTTCGGCGCTGACGCAGCCAGGTCTGGATCTGACGCTGAGAGAGTCCACAGTGCTTCTCCAGAACCAGCAAATCACTCTGAACAAACAAACACAGACACGGGAAAACAAAAATTAGGATTTCATTGTATTATATTTTGAAACTAATTTGTTGATATGTCAAAATCGGCTTGTATGTCAAAAAAGTTGAGTTGGGAAGCTTACAAAATGTATTTTATTAACAACAGCAACATGTGCAAAATCTAATTTTTATGTAGAAAAGATATATATATTGTACTCTTATTAGATGTACCATTATTCTTCTATAGTCTTACATTAAACTGACCAACAACTTCAGTGATTTCGTGTGATTTAGTCGCAAACTGAACAAAAGTTTGTTTTTCAAAGCACTCTGACGTTTTTTTACTTCATAAACAAAAAAGAGCGAAACTCTGACAAAATCTGATTTCTTGATGATTCGATATTTTATAATAGTGATTTTATAATTTCAAAATATAAAGGAAAAAGTAGAAATTAATAACTAATAAGCCAATAAGTGCTCCTCTGCTGCCATCTACAGGTTATAATGGTGATTTGATGTATTCTTTAAATTTTTCATAAGTGTTTGTTCACTGCAGTATATTTAGGTCATCCCATTGAAAATAGCATTCAAACTGGATCATTTAGGAGCTTTAAAGTGCTGGCAACAGTTGTGTGAAATGCTTGTAAGTCACTGAAAATTGCTTGAATTTCTCTCTCAAACGGTTGTACAAACCCTGGAATGAATAATGTACCGTATTGACCCGAATATAAGACGATGTTTTTTTCTTGGACTATTTCTGCCACAACCTCATGGTTACAGTTAGCATTACCGCTTCTGGTTTTCTGCGTCAGCGCCGTTTGATCTGTTTATAACAGAGAATTCTGTGCAGAATTTGAATGCTTCTCAGTAAATCTCGCAGTAACCTTTATTCATTCTGCGTTGAATTCAAACGCTTCTCACTGGATCTTGCAGCGCCGTGCGGTTGCAATAACAGTGTCGCGAAATCAACTTTGGTTCCCGAGTAAAGCTGTTCTGAGCTCGGACTAGTTTGTTTGCATCACGGTCCGAGCTGTTCAAGCTCAAACGAGTAGCGCGATTTTGTTACGCTTTCGTTTCGTTTGCCGTTTGATGTTTCTCATATGCGACAGAAATGGCAGCACGAGTTGAACAATGTGGTTGTCGCGCCAGTGCGACCGCACACACAATTTACTCGCACCGGCAGAAAAAATGGTCGCAGTCTGGAGCCCTGTATTATGCTGTATTTTATATTATAAATAAACTGCAGTATAATAACCATAACCCTGAAAATGAAATGTTCAATGAATGTTGCTTCCAAGAAAAATTCATCCAAATATAAAAAATGAAAAATTAGCCCTGAAAATGAAATGTCACAATCTTCTGCTTTAAATGAATATAATGAAATGAAATAAAATGGACATTTATTAATTTGTTGGGTGATTTAATAATTACTGAAACGTAAACTTATTTTTTTGTAACTATTTAATGATGTATTAAACGGTTATTTTAATAGCATTTTTTTTTGTTATTTGGCCCACTGTAATAATTTCATACACAAAAAAAATGTTTTTATAATATATACACTACCGGTCAAAAGTTTGGGATCTCTACAATTTTTTATATTTTTTAAAGAAATTTCTTATGCTCATGAAGGCTGCATTTATTTGATCAAAATACAGAAAAAAAACTGTAATATTGTAAAATATTATTGCAATTTAAAATAATGGTTTTCTATTTTAATAAACTGTAAAATGTAATTTATTCCTGTGATGTCAAAGCTGAATTTTCATTGGCCATTACTCCAGTCTTCAGTGTCACATGATCCTTCAGAAATCATTATTATATGCTGATTTATTATTAGTGATGGAAACAGTTGTGCTGCTTAATATTTTTTGGAACCTGTGATTAGGGCTGTCACGGTGAGGGAATTTCCCTTGCGGTAATTTTGAGTGGCTCAATAGCGCGGTATGCGGTATTATCGCCATACATATACATATATATATATATAATTTGTGTGTGTATGTGTTACGATATAACTAACGTATACCGAAACCAAATAGCGTTGAAACAGAAAGTGAAGTAAACAGAAGAGAATGACAAAATAACGGTCCACATAACAGAACATAAACCTGACAATAAGATCGTTAGGCTATCGTTAGCCTATATGTATAACAGTTAGTCTAGTTGTAATCTGATCTCTTAATCTGACTGGACAAGGGACTTTCTAATGATATTTCCACCTGCGCGCGTTCTAGACGGGCTGTCAGTCAGTGCAGTTACAGTGTTGCGCCACAAGGTGGTGGAACGTGACTGTCATTCAACTACACGTTCAAAAACGCTGATTCATTCAATATATATATATATATATACATATACATATAATTTGTGTGTGTATGGGTTATGATATAACTAACGAGGTCATATTCAGAAGACAATGAAACCGAAACCAAATAGCGTTGAAACAGGAAGTGAAGTAAACAGAAGAGAATGACAAAATAACGGTCCACATAACAGAACATAAACCTGACAATAAGATCGTTAGGCTATCGTTAGCCTATATGTATAACAGTTAGTCTAGTTGTAATCTGATCTCTTAATCTGACTGGACAAGGGACTTTCTAATGATATTTCCACCTGCGCGCGTTCTAGACGGGCTGTCAGTCAGAGCAGTTACAGTGTTGCGCCACAAGGTGGTGGAACGTGACTGTCATTCAACTACACGTTCAAAAACGCTGATTCATTGTCTTTGATGAATAATACAGAACATAAAGAGCTTTAAAAAATAATTGCATATTAAATCGCAATCGCAATATTGGTAAAAAAAATTAGATTATTTTCCAAAATCGTTCAGCCCTAGCGACAGCCCTACCTGTGATACTCTTTTTCAGGATTATCTGATGAATAAACAGTTAAAAAGAGCAACATTTATTCAAACTTTTCTAACAATATACACTACTGTTCAAAATAGGTATGGGGTCAGTAAAAACTTTTCTTTTTTTAAACTTTTCAGCGTGGATGTGTTAAATTGATAACATTGAAAATTAATTGAAAACATTGAAAGTTAAATTGAAATTGATTCTAAGTAAAGACTTGTTAGAAAACAATTATATTTTGAATAATAAATATATATAATATATATATATATACAGTATCTCACAGAAGGGAGTACACCCCTCACATTTTTGTAAATATTTTATTATATCTTTTCATGTGACAACACTGAAGAAATGACACTCTGCTACAATGTAAAGTAGTGAGTGTACAGCTTGTATAACAGTGTAAATTTGCTGTCCCCTCAAAATAACTCAACACACAGCCATTAATATCTAAACCGCTGGCCACAAAAGTGAGCACACCCCTAAGTGAAAATGTCCAAACTGG